GTACTTAGGTCCATATTGAAAATACTTATATTTTTATGTTATTTAAGGAGTTTCTTGTACTGACAACATTTTTTTATTTCATATGAGAAACACATTTTTTTAAATTCTTAATTCGTTTATAATTCGAAATTTCAAACGATTAGTCCTATACAATCATATTATTAAACTTATGGTATTAAAGAAAAAATTGTTGGTCACATTAGTCTATATAATAATGTTTTTAGAAGATAAGGATCTTTGAAGATTTTAAAATTATAATTATTAATTTATTAACATTTTATAATAATTGGTAAAAATTATCCGAGTAAAATACGTATGTATTAGACTAAACAGTGTTGGCGTACACGCAATTATTCAATGGGGTATATTGTAGGGGTAATAGTTAGAAATAATGTTATATATAAATATATATAACATTATTGTGTACTAAAAAAAAGTCAAGAGAGTTAAACATCCCCTGTCTACCTACGCCACTGAGACTAATCATCACATAGAATTTATATTTTATGTACAACTATTAATTAAGGATTAATTATTGTATTATTGTACTTATATACATAAAGTTTAATACCATAGAAACTACTCGCTTGTTTTTGAAGTAAAAATTTAAAAAAAAATCATCTTGTTAATGAAGTTGCAGTAACAAAAGATAGTTCTTTTTCAATAAATAAACATTTAAATCGTATTAAGATATTTCTTACTACTTATATAACAAATTTAAGCATTTGAAAATATAGTCTAAAAAATCAGATTTGAAATTAATTTCAAATAGTTAATATGTTTGATGAACCATTCCATTCACTCTGTTTATATACTACAGTATAATACTCGATAGTTGTTGTCATTAATAATGAAATTATATATAGGTTAGGTTTACCTACCCCGACCTTATATACCCCATACCCCATAGGCACAACAACAAAAATAATCTTAAATAAAATTACCTCGTACCTATTTATGCAAAGTAGAATTAAAGGTTAGAGGGGGTACAAGGTCTGCTGCACCTAACATAGATCTCTATTACTTGTACAATATAAAATATAGGCCTCTTTTGTGGGGTATATGATGGGTAACTTACGCTCGGAAAAATTGATAGGCACGACAAGGTTCGTTTCAAAAATAATTAACGTGAATAAGAAAACACTGAGAAATTCTAGAAAAATATTCATGTCCTCAGCAGTCTTCGTGCGCGCAAGTGTCAATAATTCTATAGTTTCGTCGTAAGAGTCATATAATAATGGTGACAACAGCGCCGAGGAGGAACATAAATTGTTGTACCACGATTCGGTCACGGTTGTTATTTACACTGAAAATAACTAGGTATATGATATCATAATATAGTATATTTTATGGTACGATGCACGAACGTCGTTTTTCCAATGAGTCAAAAACGTGTTCTCGGTGTGTCACGGGCCCCCATGAGAAGTTCGTCGATGCGGTGGTCAATATTCTGTTGTCGTATATATTAATATAATATCTTTAAAACATATAGCCAGGTAGTGGTGAAAAGGTAATGTGACAGAAACGAAAATAATAGTAATAATAATAAAAAAAAAATAAATATGTGGATTCTTTTTTGTAGTTTTTTTAGCCACCTGTTTGTGGAGGAATCCGCACGGTTCTTGGATGTAGTCCAAAAACCGCAGCCGAACATTTACAACACGTGACTGTCTATCTTTCTTTCTCTCTCTCTCTCTCTCTCTCATTCTCTCTATCTCAGTCTATATATTATCCTTGTATATAGTATTTATAATTTAGGTATACGACATATTATTTTCATTGTGCGCATACTTGCATATTATAATATACACGTTATATAGTAAATATGCCGTGTATACCCGACAGCAGCTTCTGACCCGCGCGGTGGTAAAATCGTATAATTTATTAAAATTCTGCTTCACACATGTGTCACTATTATAATATAATATACAGGGTGGCTCCTGTATAACAACCTCTCTTATGTATTGGTTAATTATTATTAAACCGCTGTCAGTTTTAAAAAAATTGTAATAAACTTAAATAATAATTCAAAAATTGAAACGAGTTAAGTTTCTGATTAAGTATAGGTACTGAGGACAAAAGTCCATAATAATAGCTTTAATATCTATGAAATACAATTAATTTACTAAGACTAAATTATTTGTAAATATTTTTCAAGTATAATAAATGGTAGACTAATAATATTGGATCTATTTTATTTACGATGTAAAACTTTAATATTATAGAATATTCATTAAATGGCATAAAAAAAATTAAGTACTGAAAATTATTATCGTGAAGTGTACCAAAAACATAAAAGTTCCATTAAAATAAGAGGTTGAATAATTAATGTATTATAAAGGATAAAATATGAATAAGGATATTCAGTAAGTAGTTTCTAAGTTATTAATACATGTATTTGTTAGGTAGGTATTAAGGATTAAATTTCTTTTAGAATAGATTTAAAAAATTATTAGAATAGATGTATTATTACTAGATTTAATAATTATTATACTCAGAAAACTTTTACAAATTATAAAATGTTAATATATTTATATTAATTACTAAAAGTTTTAAATTACCATAGCCCCTTTATTTTACAAATCAATTATCATGGATCTATTGTCCTTCATATAAAACGTTAAATAACTCAAAAACTACTAGTTCAAATGTCGAGTTTGATATATAAATACATTTTCAAAAAATAGATGATTACCTATCTAAAAATTCACAGTAAAATATCATTTTTTTGAAATAAATTTAAAAAAAGAAATTTGTATCACTACAGGAATCTCCTCAAATGATGAAAAAAAAAAATACAATTTTTTTAAAATGGCCCTTAAGAAGTTCCAAAGATTAGAAATTCAATATATTTAATTTTAAAGGAAAAATGGAGTCGAACATGATCGTGAATAATTCTGTATTATACCGCAACCCCACATGCTCGAATACTTAATACGCCATTCGAATTCGCAAATCTGTTACTGTTAAAGTGCGAATTAATAATGAGCCGCGTATAATATTATAATAGATAGGTTTGAACAACAGGTGGTCGTGGTTATAATTAGGTACGTCTATGAAAATTTGTGTCTAAAAAAATTGGCCGAACCTCAAGCGGCAGGCTCATATAACGTGTGTGATATAATATTGCGTGCGTACCGATAGATAGGCGTATATTATATTATTATGATACGTGCATAGTCTCATATAAATTTGGCAATATTCCACAAACAACAATATGTTCATTTAGAAAACATAGTTTAGTAGATGTCGAATAATTTGCGAACGTTTATAATATAATATACTTGGAGGCACCTCGGTGGGGTGTTTCCATAGCATCACACATTGCGCCACTCCTATATGGTTCTTTATATATATAAGTAAATAATATATATATATATATATATATATACGTATAAATGTTATATACCTTCCTATATATAGTCCATACCGACCGAACGGGTTTCGTCTTGCATAGCACATAGAGAACAGTAATTTATGGTCATCATTGTTTATAATAGAATTAATAACGTTTGAAATATTAAAACACAAAATATACTAATGCCCAAAATGCCCAAATATGAAATGGTAAGACTGAATAATTAATAGTCAATGTTATATAACAGAGTAAAATTATTACTGATCAATAACCATCAACACTTAATGTTAGTCTACGCACGATAAATATTATAACTATTATTTTTTTTTTTCAAATTTATATTTCTTATGTTATGTAGGCATTAATATTCAAGCCCACTACATGGTCATTTTTAGAGGTAAACGTTAATTTCTTCGAAAAATATTAATGTTTAAATGAAGACGTTTTTTTTTTTTTTTGATAATATTTTAAGTAAAATCTCCTGATTATACACTGTATAGTGTATAGGTTCTGTGTATAATAAATAAATTAATAACCATCATATTATCTTTGATCTGTAACCGTGAATATATTATTATCATATTTTCTGCATGAATTAATTCGTAATATTTTTTAAAAATAACTAATTATGGATTCTGTATAATAGTTATTATTAGTGACAATCTAATTTAAATAAAGTGAATGGCCTGAATTAGATTTATTGAAAACCAATAGACATTGACATTTAAAAAGGCATGCACTGTTAATGCACTAGAATCGTATATATAATACACAGAATGGTAACTTTCAAATCGTTTGCACTCAATTTATACACACTTATTTTATTAATTATTATTACAGTATTGTCACAATAATAGTGTGTAAAAAAATGTTTTATTGATGTTTTGAATTTCAAAAAAAAAAAAAAAAAAACAATTATAAAATATCTTTATAGACACAATTTTAGACTTAACCTACAATTAATGCATAAGGTTAGGTATTTGATCAGAAAAAAAACTGTTACTATAATTTATTAAATATATAATAATAAGAAATATTATTTTTTTATCGTGTAAATAAATAAACAAAAAATTTCCATCCGTTTTAACCAACCCAATGATGACCATGAAAGGAGCTCTTGAGAGAAATAACACTAACCAGACCACACGAACTTTTTCAAGAACGCTGACATTCACTATCCAGATTATAGCCACTAATACTTTATACCTATATTTAATGTTCAATCGATTTCGAATAATAATTACTTTGATCGACATATTAATTGGTACCGCTTTTGGTCATAACTTTTGGAGAGCGAAAAAATTAATTGCTGTGTAATAGCAGAGCTCCTAAATCAATTAACACGTTCAGTGGCGGATTCAGAAATGTATCAAGGGGGGGAGGTAATAAATCGTCATGCTAAGTCCCGATTAACAATTTATCGTAATTCTTTTGGGTAATGGTAATCTAATCTAAGCTCAAGAGGGGTGGTATTTACCCCCTCCCCTTGGATCCGCCATTGAACACATTATTGCTCCGAAAATTATCATATTGAAAAATGTTTTGACTAAGTATTTTAAATTTATTATACTTGAGACAAGAAAATACATTCAAGACCACTGCTAAAAATACATCGAATAGATTTAATAAACGAAAAACTTACCGCAATTAAGCTTTGTAACCGGTCAATTAGCATAGTCTTCGCGATGGCTTTGGCTGAATCGACGGTGTCCTTCGTAGCATAAAATCTACGAAGGCCCGTCTCCCGCCACTGACGGTCCCATGGCGGCACCTGGAACAGTTTTATTTTTCAATTAAGTACGAAACAATTATTATTTATTACGATTTGGTATCAACAGGTTTCTTTTTTACAATTTATTAACACTCGTGTATACTATGATAACAGGGAAGAAAGAAGAGGGGGTTGATTGGAGTAAAAAGAAACTATAACGAACGTATCATTTGCATTTTAACTATAAATAGATATATACATACGAATCGTAGGCAGTGAAATTTTAAGGCGGCAGCAAACATCGTTTTATAATAACAACAATTAAAAAACAAAAAAAAAAAAAAAAACAAATACTATTGTTTGTTATCGAAAGTATCAAATGAGTCTTATTACCATCGAACTATATAGTTCTCGTCCCTAATTGCAATTGCAGGAATTCCGAATGAGCAATTAAAATGTGTTTTCAAAACGTGGCTCGCTGCATACAGGATTAGCCTTAATAATATGTATTCAAATCTAAATCAATCCACATATAGTTACCATAATAAATTTAAATATTTGAATAAAACTGCCTACGATACCCACATTCTTTAATTTATTATAACCCACTGATATAGGTAATTTAAACTATATTGTAATAATAATATACATATTGTTAATGAAGAATATCACTGACTTCGATGAATATAATATACTCGTATAATATTATACATGTATATCTAAATTTTAGAAAAGAATTATTAACCATGCCTAAATAACTAATGAAATACATTTTTTGAACCATAGCTAGATTTCTTTTTATGTACATTTTCACTGGTATTATAATAATGTGTCTAATTAATCAAGTCCTACATACGAGCATGTGGTGAAATACGGTTATGTAAATATTGCCATTCATTTTATGTAAAATAGTTAACAAAATTTGAAAAAATGGATACAAGAAGGTTATAATTTGTATGTGTATTAATATATTTTACTATTAGTCAACACTATACATATGTTGAGAGAGAAAGAGAGAAAGTTATCGATTTGATTTACATTTATTTGTACACTATGTTGAATATAAGGTATTAGTTCAAGGTGCAAAACTACCTAAAATCATATATTTTTTAAACTTAAACTCAATGTATACAATGAGTAAAAATATCGTAGGTATTTAAAATAAAATATATACAACTAGGTATAAATAAAACCCGTGCAATTACAAATAAACTGCACTTTTACAAAGAAGTTGTATTTTATTTTAATCTAAAATATTCGTTGTTTTATCTAAAAAATAACAATATAATTACTTAACTGCAAGTCATAGTCGTTAACATTTTTAAAAAAGACTAACACCTCAAACAAATATGAGTAAACAATTATATGTACAATTTTTTATCTTGTCTAGCCAATAATATATTGTACATTGTATATTATTATTATTATTATGATGTTGTATAATGAATTGTGTATTAGAATTTATAATAAATATCAGAAACACGATTACTTAAAAAAAAATCGATTTTCTTCATCCCAAACAGAAGACATAAAATATTCTCATGATGGCCAAATTATAACTATACGAGAAATTTCAAAACATATATCATAGATAAATATAATAATATTTCATATTATACACGCGATACACCTAAAAGTACGTTATTAGTAATAACTTATTACTATTATTGATGCAATATACATGAAAATGAATAATACATTACTCATTAAGAATTTATGTATCGAGTTGATTCATTGGTCGGTTACTTACAAACGTATTTAAATTTAATGCATACACAATAATATGTAATTCGTACACGAATCGAATACGCGTGTACGGATAGGTCACCTGCATAGCAGCTACCTATAACTAATGACTATACAAATGATGTATTTTTCGAACACAACGATGTGTAATATATTTAAAGCAACTTTGCGTTATTTATATTAAACTTTAAAATATATTTTTATTAAATATTTTATTGTGGAAATAACGTTTTAATAGTAATAATAAGTCATGCTTATTTTACCATGAGAAAAAAAAATAAAAACCACGTCCGTTTTTAATTGCTATTAAACGGACATAGAACATCGGTGTATAGTATAATATAATACTATAACACACAACACGCACCATCCCCGTTATCAAACGACCCCTATAAATCGACCGAACATGAAGAATGCCACACACAACGCGATGCCGTTTGCCGTATTTATTTTCTTTTGATTTTATCATATTTTCCGGATCCAAAAACACGTATTCCACCGTAATAATAATTTTGTTCATCAAAAACAATTTAATTAAATCAGCACCGTGGACTTAGATAATAATGTTGCAATCTTGCTTCATAATGTTCACTAATATATAGTTACCCACTGCAATATAGTAGTACTAGTAGTAGTAATAGTAGTAATAGTAACAGTAGTAGTAACAATAATAAAAAAAATATATATTAGTTAATACAACAATATTATGCTGCTTTTATTTTTTTTTTAACGAAAAATACGAGTCAATAATTGCATTTATACGAGAAATTTACATTTTTTTTTTAAAAAAAGCAGTTATGTAGAAAATATGAATGTAATATAAATGAAAGAAAAACGTAATATAAAATAAGGTTACCACATATTTGATGCGTGTTATCTCTATGATCAATTGTAATGCAAACCAGTTTTTTTTTTAATATATACATACGTATCCATAAATTGAAAACATGAATGGAAGTGTATTTGTATATATGTATATAAGCCTATAGCATAAATGTAATGAAATAATAACGGAGATAAAAATTAATAAAACAGTTAAATATACTTACTTTAAAAAATTTGTTTATATCATATGAACGAGTATGTAATGCAAAAATGTATAAAAAAACATAAAAAATCATTACAAGTACTATGTTTATAAGACGGTTACTGTCTATCGTATAACATTCATACAATTATATTATAATATTATAGATTGATTTCTTGCACGTATGGTGGTGGGATTTGAACATTTGAATGACGACCAAATAAATAAGAGAAGCTTAAGAACATTTGAAAACGAGATTTAGAGAAAATTATAATATGGACCCATCATCGTGGAATCAACGGTGAACTGTTGAAGAAGATATAATACGGAATAGTACGATATAATGGAATTAGCACTAAAAGATTTTATGACTATTTGGGCAGAGAAGAAACGAAGTGTGGAAGAATTAAGAAACGGTTTGGAAATATTGAAAAAGAAGATATAGGTCTTTAGACCAAAAAAAGAAATATTAATATAGTAAAAGAATATATTTAAACTAGGCCACTCACTAATTAGGGTTGGAACTGTGGTATTTGTTATTTATAGTAAAATATTTTATATATATATATATAAACCGATAGTAATTAGAAAGAAAATTTGTAACTAAGGAAGTATTTTATCGTACATAGAGATCCACGTACTTTAAAAGCTTAAGAACCAATGGTATGGATGATAAAATTGTATAAAATATAAGTGTATCAAGTATTCAATAACACTTACTGGTAGTATTTTGAACAGAGAAACGTTTTATTTGAGTATTTATATTTTATTTTATTTTTCGAGATTATTCTTCAGCTGAAAAACGATTATAATAAGATTATTATAAATGTATATTATATTTTAAGACACTGTAAAGTTAGGTCCATGTGTATAACGTGAAAATAAAGTTAAATTATTTTGGTGCAGACAGAAATTTAGAAAAACACTTATTGACATGGTATAGGTATCTAGATTATATCTGAGTCAACTGCATTATTTAGAATATTATTCGTTGTTTGCGGATACTTTCCTACAAATTAAATATTACGCGTATCGTATTGTTATAGGTATGTGTAGTCGTCAAATTGAATATACAAATATCGATGAACAAATATTGAAACTAAAAAAAAAAAGGTAAAAATAGAACTTATAGTTAATAATAACAATATGTAATCAGATCAAATCGACATGTAAAAATTATATGGGTAGGGCAAAGATAAAAAAAATCATTTGAAACCGATCACAAATCTAATGTTTTATCGTTAACTTGTATAATACTATTGAAGTAGCAATACCTACACTATTACAGTAATAAAATAGTATGCAAATATTTCAAATATATAATAAATTTCCATACATATTTTTTATCGATTTATTTTGGCACCAACGCTAGGTCAGGTTAAACCTATTTTTTTATTACATATAACTATACAAGAATGAGTTTTATATTCAAGTCATGAAAACTCACTGCAAGCACCTATGTCAGCTACTGATATGCAAATATTTACTCGTAGTATCACAGATACTCCATAATATATATTATTATCGTACTCAATAATCTTTTACACTCGATTCGATAGAAATAATCAGTTATTATTTTTATCATTGTTCTCGATATTTTAATGAAATGTTTAAATCTCGAACGAATATATGGTACAAAAGATTTAGTATATATATATATAAATGTATAATACATAGTAGGTAATAACATAGTATTGCACAAGTTGATTTACTAAACATGCTAACCGCCACTTCTTTCTTAAATCTATTCAAACTCTGATTTTTAGAACTTTTACTCGTACCATTTAAAAACCATATTTTCAAATTGTTGAGAGTTTTTTCATGCTACCTACTTTAAATGTGTCTTTCATGAATACAGACTTTTGCTTTTTGATTTGACATACACGGTTTTTAGAAAAATTATCTGCCAAATAATTTATAGTAAAACAAGTGTTTTTAAAAATTTCAAAAATCAGATTTTAAATAGCTATTGGAGAAATATAAGAAGTGAGAATTATGTTTAGTAATTATAAACTGCATAATGGCATAGTTATTATATATTTTATAAGCTCTTCTACACGTAGTTCGGTCATGAATAAAAATATATTAAATACTTTGACTTAAATACAATACATAGATTACCTATATGTGCAGTTAGAAAGTGCTGCAGTATTATCCCGCTGTGGCCTAACGTTATACCTACATGTAATATTGGTACTGTACACAATTATTTTTATTTTTTTTCTAATCCCTAAACGAGTATTTTATGACTCACGAGCAAGTCTTCGTAAAAGCGTATGCAAATGCT